TCCAAAAAAAGTTTTTTCCTCTGCTAGTAAACCTTGTTTTATCATCTCACTAAATATTTTTTTGAAACCTGAATATGAAAATACACAAAAACCCATAAATGCATCAATAATGGAAAATTGGACCAAATAAAATAAATCACCAAAACAAAAGGTAAAGATTTAAACATTTTAGACTCCACTTTAAATGAAAATAGACTTACTTTAATCACTTTTGAACATGTTTTTTGCCAATCCTTAATTATTTTTTAAAAATTATTATTTACTGTTGAAAATATTACATATGTCCTCTTTTGTCTCCCATTAATCCCCTCCAGACTGTCTCCTGCCCCATATATGCATAGCCTCATCTTTGTCCTTGGGCCATGCGTATATGCATACAAGGTCCTGGTTGGTTACTCCTACCCACCCTCCCCCTCTTTCCTCTGAGATTCTGCACTGTGTTCCATGCTTCCATGTCTCTGGGTCCACTATGTTCATCAGTTTATTTTGTTACTTAAATTGCACATATGAGTGAGATCATGTAATACTTGTCTTTCTCTGACTGGCTTATTTCACTTCACATGATACTCTCCAGGTCCCTCCATGTTATCTCAAAGGATAAAAGATTCTTTTTTTTTATTGCTGCATAATATTCCATGGTATAAATTTTTTTTAATGGAGGAATAAAAAGACAATTTTCCAATAACATGAAATCTCAATTTTACATGAACATTTTCCAAGATCCAAAAATATGCTTTCCCTTTGAACTCAACTTCAAAATGAAACTGCACAGATTGATGGTCTGGCTCTATGTGTCTCGTCAAAAACTGAATTCAGCCGAAACCGGTTTGGCTCAGTGGATAGAGTGTCAGCCTGCGGATTGAGGGGTCCCGGGTTGATTCCGGTCAAGGGCATGTACCTTTGTTTCGGACAGCTGATCGATGACTCTCTCTCATCAATGTTTCTAACCTTCTATCCCTCTCTCTTCCTCTCTGTAAAAAAATCAATAAAATATATATTTTTAAAAACTGAATTCACTCAGCACCTCTAACTAATATGTGAACATCCTCCAAAACCATTTATGTCCAACTCCTGTCTATTCCTTCACTTTCCCATAAAATGTAAAGATTTCCCATAAAATGTCAAGTAGCTCAGTTGGTTAGAGCGTCATTCTGATACACCAAGGTTTCAGGTTCAATTTCTGGTCAGGGCACATACAAAAGGCAACCTATGAATGCATCAATAAGTGGAACAACAAATCTCTCTCTCTCTCTCTCTCTCTCTCTCTCTCTCTCTCTCTCTCTCTCTCTCTCTCTTTCTCTCTCCCCAACCCCTTTCTGTCTCTCTAATGTCAACAAACAAAAATTTAAAAACATCTTTCTTTAAAACTTTCAACATGACAACATAGCAAAACTATAGCTGAAGATATAGGTGTATATGTATATGTGTATATATATTCATTTTAATAATATAAATACATATATTCAATTTTAATTTAGGAGAAATGAAAACTCCATCTATCACAATTTTTTTTAATTTTAATTCTTTTTTTCTCTTTTTTTTTTATTAAGGTATTATATGTATACATACCCACCAATCCCCACCCCACCCCATCTACTGCAATTTCTGAAGTAAAAGTAAAAAATGTTCCCACAACTAAAAACTAAATGCTTTAAACTTTTAACAGAGGAAGTTCTCTCTTTCTATCAATTTCACATTTAACAAGAAAAAAAAAGAATGGAATAGTACATAGCCTGCCTTCCACTAATTTGAATGTGCTTTCTCACTTGGAGCCATCCTGCAAGGGAATAGGCTAGTAGGCCAATAATATTTTAATCCAGTCAGGCATATCCTAATCCAATCTCATGGCTCCTCATTGTGACTCAAGATAGAACTAAAACTAAACTTAAAACTAAAAGCCACAAGATAAGGATCCAGAGTTATTTTCAGTCAGGAAAGAGAAAAATGAGAAACTCCAGCTAGATAATTTCACTTAATCATTTATTTAAATAAATATGAAATATGGCTCAGTGATTGAGCATTGATCTATGAATCAGGAGGCCATGGTTTGATTCCTGGTCAGGGCACATGCCCGGATTGTGGGTTCAATCCCCCATGTGGGGCATGCAGGAGGCAGGCAATCAATGATTCTCTCTCATCATAGATGTTTCTCTCTTTCTTCCTCTCCTTTCCTCTCTGAAATCAATGAAAATATATTTTTTTAAAAAATATGAATTGAGTGACTATAATGCTTAAGGTTCAATACAGAATTTTAAAAAATCAAGACTTAACTTTTTTGGGGGAAAAAATCTTTATTTTCATGAGGAAGATAAGACAAGTACAGAAATAACATTAATTGACAAGTTGGATTTGAATACTGACTCCAATATTTACTAAGTGGTGACAGTATTCCTCCTTATTCATGGGGCTCTAAGACCTTCAGTGGATGCCCAAATCATGAATAGGTACACTTTGTATTTTTCTAGACATACCCATAATAAAGTTTATTTATAAATTAGGCACAGGAAGAGATTAACAATAATAACTAACAATTAATAACTATTTTAATTACTTGAAGAAATTACTCAAATATTTCACCCTTTTTAAAAATATTTTTAATTGATTTCAGAGAGGGAGAGAGAAATGGAAACATCCATGATCAGAGAGTATCATTGATCAGCTGCCTCCTGCATGCTCCCTACTAAACACTGAGCCAGTTGACCCTTCAGTCCACAGGCCAATGCTCTATCCACTGAGCCAAACCAGCTAGGGCTCAAATATTTCACTCTTAAGTAAAATGCTGGCTTTGGGGCTAAAATAGCTAATTATATAAAGAGAGAAAATATTTTCATTTTAAGGAAGTATCCATTGGATCTTATGTGGGGATGTGTTTAAAATAAGACTGTTGAATATTGTCAAATACCTATCCAAATCTGAAAGTTATGGATAAGTTATGTTACTGATTTCCTTATTTTAAAGTATCATTGCCTTCCTGGAATAAATCTATTTAGTCATTAGAGTTAGATTGTATTAGCTGATTATTCATAAATAACTTAATTTTTCTCACTATGCAATTCTTCAATCTTTTTTCTATCAACATTGTGTTTACTTAAAATTTTGAATTTTTTTTTTCTTTTCCAATGCCAAATGGATTTGGAAAAATCTGCTTTTCAAGGATTTCATACATATCCTTCTGGCATCGTCTGTGTACTGGTGGTTTTGAAAAGGCAGATATTTTTATGTCTTTTGATATTTCTTACACAGAAGTTTTTAACTTCTGAAATCAGGTTTAGTTCATTTTTTCTAGAAAAGTGTCTATATTTTTTGAGCTTTGTAAAATTTCCCAGTTATGTTATTTTATAATTTATCTAACTCATTAATTTCTGGATATGTTTTTATTAATTTCTTCCTGCTACGCTAGGTAAGTTTGTTTTTTTCCTGATTTTATGAGACAGAAGCTTAATCCAGTTAATTTCATTGATAAGGTTGAAATTTTTCCTCGATCCTATTTTAACTGATCACATTTATTGCTATATGTATTTCATCCATTTTGAAATCTAAAAACATTTCCATAATTCTTATTATGTTTTAGACATCCATTTTAGCGCTTTACAAATATTAACTCATAGAACTGTCATACTAATCTTATGAGGTAGATGTGATTACTATACCCATTTTACAGTTGAGGAAAGTGAGTCACCATGAACTTAAGTAATTTGCTAAGGTCACAAACTGATACAAGTTAAACTGGAATTCAAAACCAGGCAGTATGGCTCCAGAGTTCATAGAGTTAACAAATATTCTGGTTCCCTGGTTCCTACAAATTAGAAGGACATCTGTTCCTGTAATCTACAAGTCAGTCCGTTGAAAATGTTTAACTTCCCAAAAAGAAAGACTTCCATAGTTTCTGATATTTAACATGAACGCCTACTTTTATTGCATGAAAATTAAGAAGCCTGATTTTTTTTTTTTTTCTGCTTTGGGATTTATGAGTGTTTTCTCTTCAGCCTAATATACTATTAATTTTGTGATTGATCATTGGCACTTTACAAAAGGGAGCATTCTATTACCAGGTACATAAATTCTACCCTATTGTTCATGTTGTTTAAGCTTTCTGTATCCAGATTTTATATGATGTTGTTTCTTGTCTTGCACGGCATGAAGTAAAAGGGGCTCTGAACACCCAGTTCCGAGGTGTGGTCAAGGTTCGCACCAACAATGCTCAGGGCACCAGCAGGTTGTCCCACAGTTTGACTCAGCTCTGATACTATATCCCTGGAGACAGCGTCCGCTCTCACAACTACAGGGCTCAGTCCTACAAAATTGCCATCGGCCCCACCCGACCACTGCCTTCAGCTGCCAGTCACAAGCCCAGGAACTTCTGACCCACTGGCTATAAACCAAAGGTTCCTGGCCACCTCCTTGGGTTTTATTAATTTGTTAAGAGTATCTCACAGAATTCAGAAAACATTTCACTTACCATATTGACCGGTTTATCATAAAAAGTTATTGTGATGGTCACCAGAAGGAGGAATGCACAAAGCCAAAAGGAGTAAAGGATTTTTTTAGGTCAGATAGGCTGAGCCCCCAAATGGAGCCAACACCTAGGGATGCGGAGTCAGATATTTTATTTTATTTTTTTAAATATATTTTATTGATTTTTTACAGAAAGGAAGGGAGAGAGATAAAGAGCTAGAAACGTCGATGAGAGAGAAACACCGACCAGTTGCCTCTTGCACACCCCCTACCGGGGATATGCCCGCAACCAAGGTACATACCCTTGACCGGAATCGAACCTGGGACCCTTCAGTCCGCAGACCGACGCTCTACCACTGAGCCAAACCGGTTTTGGTGGGAGACAGATATTTTAAAGTACTCTTGGGGGTGGGGGGGGCCTTTTCTGAGTGGAGCGTTCTCTGGGTGGGTCCTGAGGGTCTTGACTGTGGAGCCACGCTGGTCAGCACTCTTTGTGCCCAGATTGTTGCTTGGCTGGGTGGTGCTTTGGTTCCCAGGGTTGAGGGTCAGATACAGCCATATTTGGCTAAATCTTCATCAGTGATGGGCTCAAAGATGGAAGACCACCCATTGGCAGGGAGCGTGTCCCAGGACCCCAGAGAGGCAGCTGCCTCTAGCTTTAGCTCCAGGGAGTCACAGTCAGGAGTCCAGGAGATTTTGCTATAAGAGTGGTCCATCCTTACAACGTCAGTGACACAGCAAGGAGTTGGTGGGACAATGTCAGAAAAAGTGACTGGAATCCTGTCCATAGAGAGGAGGCACGGGCCAGGGTGCATGGGTTCATCGGGATCCAATGGGGGCCCCAAGGGTTGAAGGTCAGGGGCACAACAGCACCCTGAAGCCCACACAGGATGCTGGCTGTCCATGGAAGGTTTGTCCTCAGGCACAGGCTGGACTTGGGGATCCGGCGCTGTGCGCACAGCGTCCCCCAGGCGGCGCCTCTTAGCCGGGGCCTGAACAATCGACACTTGAGTCCCTTGTTCCCTAGGACGAAAACGATGATGACCTGGACCTCGACCTAGACCACGACCACGTGTGCCAGTTGGCTGGAGATCCTGGGCAGATGGGCTGGATGTTGGCTGTGAGGATGATGGGTCGGGCTTCACGGAGCAGAAGGCTGCGTGCTGGGCAGTGGAGGCAGAACCCGGGGCTGGCCAGGGGCCCAGGGATGGCTGGTGCAAAGGGGTGCGGCCACAATGGGACCCAAGACCCCTGTGCACTAATCGAGGGGTGTGCATGGCCCGAAGGGGCTTCAGATACATCAGGCCCAGCGCTGACCTGCAGGCCGCCCGGCTCTCCCTCAAGGCGCTCAGCTCCTGGCTGCCCGGCGCCCTGGCCTCCACGTGGTCCACGCCAGCGCGGTCCTCCCCGCGCTTCCACAGCTCATAGCGCTCGGGCTGCAGGATGCGCACAAACACGTCCATGGAGAAGCTCACCCGGGCCTCCCCGCAGCTGCACTGAGAGGCCACCTTGCCGTAGTCCACCCAGCGCGGGGTGGCAAAGTTGATAGCCTCCGCGCAGTTGAAGCCGTGGTTGAAGCCGGCGTGGTAGCCATAGGGAAACGTCACCATGAACTCGCCAGCCTCCTGGGTGATGCGACTGAACGGGACCCCGTTCTCCCTGAGGACAGTGGGCGAGATGAGGGCCACCTTGTGCCGCAGGAAGGCCTCGCAGCTCCGGGAGCTGCCCGGGAACAGCTCCCTGGCCAGGCGCTCCAGCCGCTGGCCATGCTCGGGGGGCACCGCGTACCACGTCTTGGGCTCCCCGAAGTGCAGGTAGTTGATGCTGTAAAGGTCCATGTCCTCCGTGTGCCAGGCGAACGTGGTCTTCCACATGCCAAAGTACAGGTAGGGCGTGTTCACGCCTTCGATCACGAGCCCGCACTCCTGCTCCAGCAGGTCCTGGATGGTTCCCAGGTGGCCAAGGTTCCACTGCTTAGTGCTGGCATCAAAGAGGGACCCGTTGATGTCAGCGCCGTAGATGGGCGAATCGTACAGGCGCGTTTTCCAGTATTTCCGCTCCAGATCCTCGAAATCCACGTGTGGTGGGGTCTGATACTGTCCACTGTTGGCCAGCAGGCGGTATTCCCCCACTGTCATGGCCCTCTTCTTCTTGTGGTATTGGATGAACACGCCTGCTCGCCCCGACGCCACCTGCTGGAGGGGGGTGGCTATTACCATGTCATTGACATCATCATAGGTCTGTCTGGCTTTCCATTCCTTGGGTGGAACGACCTTAGCCAGGCCAGTTCGGTGTGCACCTTGGGATTCCATGTAACCAATATATTTGTTGAAATCTTTAAATTCTTCCATGGTTGGGTGGAAGGTCATGATTTTCACCTTTGGCTCATTAGACATCATGGCTGCAACGAAAGGGGTGGAGTCCCAGGTCCTTGTGGATGTTTTAGATAGCTGAGGATGAGGGAGTAATGTCTTCTCTCTTTTATTTTTTATTTTTTAGGTTTTGGTTTTAGTTTCGGTGTGTCTGTTTCGCAGTCACTCAGAATGAATGTTTGAAAAATGAGTCTTTTCCAGGCTTTTGGCCTTACCAGTGGGAACCACGATGATCAGTGCTTTTTGTGCCTGAAGGACATGGGCCAGTTCCCAGGGAGCAGGCACTGGGGGCTGCCAGGCTCAGCCTGCAGCTCTGGGGGCTCCCCTGTGGGGGTGCTGGAGTCTCTGAGGCTTCTCCTGAGTCACAGCTTCAGTGTCCGGATGGCTCCTCACTCCAAATAGTGGAGAGTCTCCTCAAGGATGTTGAAAATCTAAACCGGAAGACAAGAACACAGAATATTGGTAAATAATCACACACACACACACACACCCCTAACACCTAATAGAAATTACTCTAAAACCTGGTTCTTAGGAAAGAACATTAGAAGTGAAAAGACATAAGCGTGAAAAGTACAAATAGGCACTGAATGACAAAATAGGGGACACAAGTAAAAACGCACCAGGGAAAGTTTTTTAAAAAAATGAAAGATTAATCTTATGAACACATTGTTGCTAGTATTTTTGAAAATAAAAATAGAACATTTTCTCAAAAGCACATAGGCGGCCCGGGTAGTGTGCCTCTGTGGTTAAGCATCAACCTATGAATCAATAGATCATGGTTCTACTCCCACTCAGGGCACATGGCTGGGTTGTGGGCAATCCCCAGTGTTGGGCCTGCAGGAGGCAGCCCATCAGTGATCCTCCCTCATCATTGCTGTTTCTCTCTCTCCCTCTCCCTTCCTCTCTGAAAATCAAGAAAATATATATTTTAAAAAAACACAACAGCTGAAGTTGAAGGAAATAATAACTGTCAGCACATAAAACAAACAAACAAACAAACAAACAAAAACCCCTCTAATTTTACCTCACATATTTTCCAAGTCCCTGCCAACTGATTCACTCTTTAAGCAGATCTAGAAGCACGCTTATTAAACCAGCTCCCTAAATGCCAGGCTGCTCCCTTTGTGGTATCTACCAAAAATATCTCAAGAAAAACACGTAACCCAAAGTCTAAAAATTAAGTTTACTTGTATTTTTTTTTTAAGTCCATTTTTAAAGATTTCAGAGAAGAATGGAGAGGGAAAGAGAGAGAGGAACATCAATGATGAGAGAGAATTCTGGATCTGCTGCCTCCTGCAGGCCACACACTGGGGATTGAGCCCCAAATCTGGGCATCCAGAGCCTACTCCCTAGTTCATGGGTTCACATTCAACCACTGAGAGACTTTGGCTGAGCACAAGTTTTTATTTTGAAAGTGTTTTCCAACCTGGTGGTTTTGACTCAGGGGTTGAGATTCATCCATGAACCAAGATAAACTCTCAGTTAGGATACATGCCCAGATTGTGGGCTTAATCCCCATTAAGGGGCTGTTGATCTGTTTTACTCTCATTGGAGTTTCCACCTCTCTCTACCTCTCGCTTCATCTCTCTCTCAAAATAAATAGATAAATTTATTAATTAATTAACTTTAAAGAAAACTAAAACATACTTTAAAAATAAAATAAAATCTTTAACTAAAGGGAAGAGAGCCTAATACATACATCTCAACCATAAATAATGTAAGACTATAGTCAATTCTTTAAACTTGTAATAGGAAAATAGCTCTTTGGGTCATAAGCACAAATAGTAGAAATCAAGTGACCTTCCTTCCACCAGCAAAATCCCAATTCCAGGTGAAGGTACTGCAGGATCCAGAGAGACCATGTCTGCTTGAGAGCTGGCCGCCAGATGCAGCCCCAAATCCTCATGGACCTGGCTTTACACCTGGACTATAGTAATCTCCTCACTGCCAATCAGATGAGATCTCAGGGGGAGGGGCCTAGTTAGTCATCTCACTTTGTCCAGGTCCCAGTTGCAAAACAAAATCTAGCCCTAAGGTCATTTTCCGTAGTGTAGTGGTTATCACGTTCGCCTAACAAAATCTAGCCCTAGCCACTTTGGCTCAGTGGAAGGGTCCTGGGTTCCATTCTGGTCCCTTGAACAAGCCCAAGTTGGGGACTTGATCCCCAGTGTGGGGCCTACAGGGGGCAGCCAATCCGTGATTCTCATTCATCAGTGATGTTTCTCTCTCTCTCCTCTCCCTTCGTCTTTGAAACCAATTTAAAAACTAAGTCATACAAGGCCCTAAAGGAGAAGTCAAGAAATGAAATACACATAATATTTGTACTTTGCATCAATCAATGATACCTTACCAGGAAAAAGTTGCTTTCTGATATAACATGTCATTGTTTTCTACAGTGTTATGCTTTCAAGAAAAAAACAACAACCAAAAAGTGCTTGCCTTCTGCTATTGTAAAATTTTGATCCCAAATTATGATACAATAGGACCCAGAAAAGGATTTTCTTTACAGATTCAGCCTCCGAATGAAACATGCTGTACCGGAGGTAAGGAAAAATCATGTCCATCTCAACTCTAATTCATCCAGCACCTTCCCCATTCTAATGCCCCATATCTAATTTAAAACTTTGATTTTATCTCACATCTTTTCCACTCCCTTCCAATTGATTGACTCTTTAACCCGATCTAGAAACCCATTTATTGGTCATCGGCTCCCTAAATGTGAGGCTTTTTGCTGAAAATCTTTGTGATTTTTACCAAGAAAATATTAAGAAACAAAGTAACCCCACAAGTCTGAAAAAGTTTTTTTTGTGTGTGTGTTGTTTTTTTAACTATATTTGTATTGATTTCAAGGAGGAGGGAGAAGAGGAGAGAGAGAGAATCCTGGATCACCTGCTTTCTGGAGATAGAACTCGAAATATGAGCTTCCAATGGGGATTTTTCTGGTTCATGGGGCAGTGCTCAGCCACTGAGGACATTGGCTGGGCACAAGTTTTTGTTTTTAAACCTGATTTTTTAGCCTGGCGAGTGCTGCTCAATGGTTGAGCATCATCCATAAACCTTGAGGTCCCCAGATGAATTCTGGGAGTGTGGTCTCCATCCTCTGTAAGGGGCATGCAGGGGGCTGCTGAGGTTTCTATCTCTCTATCCCTCCCCCTGACTCTCTCTCTCTCTCTAAAAAATCAATACGTACTTTAAAAAATAAAAACAAAAACTGGCTTTAACTCAAGGGAATGATATCCAGATACATATTTCTCAGTCATAAGTAATATAAAACTATAGTCAGTTCTTCACACATTTGCAATAGGAACAAAAGCTCTTTTGGTTACAAGCACAAATAGCAGAAATCAACTGACCTACTTCCCACCAGCGAAATCCCAATTCCAGGCGAAGGCACTGCTGGATCCAGAGAGACGGTATCCTCTTGAGAGCTGGCTCCAAATGCAGCCCACATCTTCTTGGGCCTGGCTTTATACCGGGGCCATAATCTCTTCATTGCCCTTCCACGGTATCGGCTTAGTTAATCTCTCTACTTTGTCTAGGCCACGTCTTAAAGAAAAACTAAAAAAGGGATCTCCAGTCTTTAAGCATACTAAGAGATTAAAAATACAGAATTAAGTGAGCCGGGATCCGTTTGGCTTAGTGGATAGAGCATTGGCTTGGGGACTGACGGGTCCTGGGATCGATTCCAGTCAAGGGCATGTACCCTGGCTGCGGGCACATCACGAATCCGGATTGTGCAGGAGGCACTGATCAATGTTTCTCTCTCATCTATGTTTCTGGCTCTCTACTCCTCTTCCTTTCTCTCTGTAAAAAAACAATAAAGTATATATTTTTTAAAATATAATAAAATTTAAAAATAGGAGCAAGGAAGTCAAACCGCACAAATAATAAACTGAAAAGAAAACCCACCCTACTCGTAGCAGCAATTAATACCATCCTCTCAGAACCTGATAATCAACTAGAGAGGAAAATTAAATGCTATGAAAGTTTGAACAACTAACACCTTTGATCACGTAACCTGCAACCACATAACAAATGGAAAGTGCTTTTCAATACCTATGAAACATTTGAATAATGTTATCAATTGAAGACCACAAACTAAAGATCAATAAAAATGCCACAGAATTAACATACTGAGAACCCTCTTGGTCACAGTCTAATAAAATGGGAAGTCACCAATAAAAACCCTCCCTCAAGCCACATCCAGACCACCTGGGTAAGTCACCGCTTTCCCAGCTTCTAATCTCATTATTTTTTGCTCCTGACAAATTTTAGGTGCATTTTTGGAACCTGGCTTCTTTGGCAAAGATCACTCGTGTTGATGGCCTGTGGTTAATTTTGAATGCCTTTGTGTTTTCCACCTCAAACTTTAGTAGTTAAAAAAACAAACAAACAAAAATAAAAACACAGCAATTAATAAAGAAGAACTACTTGATGCTTCAAAAGTCATTGTTGGTCCTGGTTTGCAGTGTGAAGAAACTTCTGTTTGTGATTGGGGGGTTAAGGGGGAGAAGATAACAATAAAGATACACTTAATTGAAAAAGGAAAAAAACTTCTGCTCAAGTTCGGTGATGTGTGGGATTTCCTAGGTTTGGGCAATTTTCGGTTGCCATTATTTACTTTTTCTCTTTACTTAGGGAATTCTTGTTGGGGTGATAATCTTTGAGTCTTTAAAAAAAAACAACAACATTTTATTGATTTTTCACAGAGAGGAAAAGAGGGGGATAGAGAGTTAGAAACATCAATGAGAGAGAGACATTGATCAGCTTCCTCCTGTGCACTCCCTACCGGGGATGTGCCTGCAACCAAGGTGCATGCCCTTGACCAAAATCGAACCTGGGACCTTTCAGTCCGCAGACCAACATTCTATCCACTGAGCCAAATCGATTCTAGCAATCCTTGGATCTTGAAAGGACTCCCTGTCTGGCTTTCAGACAGGCTGGACCTATGCCATTTCCTCAGATTTTCTTTTTGTCAGGTAGGAAATTACAGATGAGAGCAGAGGAGAGAGAGAGAGAGAGAGAGAGAGAGAGAGAGAGAGAGAGTGC